ATTCCGTTTTGGTGTGCGTTCCTTTTTATTTGTACATGTTTTTTTTTTATTTACAACCAATACTTGCTCTCTGCTTTTACCTTTTTTATTTAAATAAATACCTACATACTCAAGCATATGAATGTTATATAAATATATTCTTATACATATTACACACGTATTATGCGTCTTCTTTTGTAATTATTTACATACATATATAAATTATATACACATTAATGATAATCGATTACAAAAATGTAAAACGTAAAATGGCGAAGCGAAGTAAAATAAAAAAAATTAAATTTAATTCACTATTTAGCTTTAAACATTTTCAATTAAATATTCCGAAACAAAAGAAAACAAAACAAAATAATTGAGTTTGAAAGTAAAAACTAAAATAAAAAATATAACTGCATAAACATTTATATCCTAGTCGAACTTATGTACATGAATACTGGATTATTTCCTCTGACAGCAATTACCGTAATTATCGTTTATTTACTAAGCAAAAGTTGAAGCATACAACAATAGCAAATAGATTACATGACGGCACAATTAAAAAAATAAAAACTTACTACTGTCAAGTGGCTCATGTCTCTAATCCATGTCGAATCCTTACTACTTACTGCAGTAATCTTTACTACTTACTTTAGTAAGAATTAGACATGGGTTAGACAAGGACTAAGCCACTTAATGATTTTATTTGTTAATGATTTTATTTTTTGAATTTTGAATTGTGTCATTATTACAGAGGGCCATCGATATATGACGTGGAAAAAAATCATATGCCAGGGCTTTTATTAAAATATACTTAATAACAAGCAGAACAGTTAATAACATAAAAATAGCAAAATATTGGAATTGCAACTTTCTTAAGCATGTTAATGCTAATGCCGGTACATAAAATATTTCGTGAAAGTAAAAACGCCAAGTAGTCTTTTTTTTTGCTTAGCAGCCAACTTAAATTTTAAAAATTTCAATTTGTAATTTTAATTGTTCGCTTGAATGCCGCTTCAGAGTATTTAAATATAGGAATTGCAGGAATTACAGAACCTTTAGTGCAGCAAAGATTTGACCAAACATTTTTTTTGGTATATTTAATGAGAATTGCCAGCCTTTGGTATCTTCAAAAATACTAAATACTAAATACTGCAATTAAAACCATTCATACCTACAATTTTTTTTATCGAAATCAACTCAATAAACTCATAGCGAAATGGATTTTTTTATTCAAAAATAAACTCATATATATACTATTGCACATTCATATAGATATGTAGCTTAAATCAAATTCATAAATAGCAAAGTGCGCAGTTTTCCGAAAAAAAAAAATTCAATAACTCCAGTGTATAGCTTAGATTCATAATTCGTACACATGTTTTTTTTTAAACAGAAGGAAAAAGTACATAAACCTGGTCGCGGGCTTTTTGGAGCTTTTGGAGCTGATTCAGTTGGCCAAATAAACAAATATTTAGTTTCGGTGGAGTATTTATGCATAAAGAACTTAGCAAAGAACGGAATTAATTAAATGAATGAAAACAAGGAATTTTTAAGCAAAAAAAACAAAACCGACTTCAATTCTCATATACAAATTTAAGATGTTAATGTCTTCATGATCCAATGATCGTATTTAAACCAAATTACCAGCTGTGAGGTAACACCTTTCCTTTAAAAAATGAAGAATTATAGAAATCGGTTAACATGGTCCAAAGTTATGCTCTAACATACATAAAAAAAATATTTATATTCCGACGAATTGATAACCTTTACCTTTTTGAGAAGTCGGTTAAAAAAGAAAAAAAAGTAATTGAAGCGTATAACACACGATCACGATTATTTTCTTATGACCAGACATTTTTTTTTTTTTTTTTTTTTTGTGCTATAACAATTTTCGTTTTATTATTACAGTGCACACATACACAGACAGTGCTTGAGGACACTACACTACTACAATTAAAGCTAATTACAAA